ATAGATTTTTAATCAGTAACTTTGATGAATGGAGTGTGAAAAGAAATTTTGCAATTTAGATATATTAAAACACGTTGAAACTCGAAAAACAAACATCTAGCTCTTTGTCAAGGTAAAGTTATCACTCCGCGGGACTACTGCTTGCAAGCAAAACCGTTAAAATAGAATCGTTTTTTTTTAGAATTAAATTGTTTTTTGATTAAAAAAAACTGACTGAAATTAAACAAAAAAAAATAATTAAAAACTCTTGACAAATGCGATATACAAAAATTAATTTTTTTTTGTTTTGTTAAAGCTATGAAAAAGTTTTACGGGCAGGAACTGAGAAAATACTTTTCCTTCGTCGTTCRCAAACTAGTTTCATTACAAATTATCGTAAAAATAAAGGACAATATAAATTATTAAATTATTATTATTACTAGTTTATTTTCTCTTCTGCAAGAGACGTTTCATAGGTATCATGCCCCTTCACCTCCCCCCATGTCATTCTCCTGTTTAAACASTGGTTGTCCTTTGCTTGRTATACACTTCATATTGASGTGTTTGTCTTTCCTCGGCCGATACTTACAAAAGAACGTGGTACTTCGATCGAATACGCCGCAAAAAAGAGAGKAGGTGGGAAAATAAATGCTACGCGTGTATTCAGCTGCCTATACCTGTGTCTTAATGTTTTCGCGAGTGTTTTAAGAACGACATATATTTATATAGAGTGGCTACGCGTCAACGCGTGCTACGCGTGCTACGCGTGCTACGTGTCAAATTGAGTATGCGGGCTGCCTGAGTCTTAATCATAGTTTTATGTAAATATGTGATACACAATTTCGATTTTGACGCGTTGACGCGTAGCCACACTAATAGAGAAATTTTAAGTGCGGGATATTCGATAGTTGTACCGACACACGGAGTGCCTATACGAAAACACTAAATGGCCAGCAGTTTTAGGCCCCGTCTACGCGTATCCGGAAATTTTTTGTGTCCACCAATTTTTTTTTTCGGATACGGGTTGCGTCCATACGTGTCCGCAAATTTGACGAAAACGGATACGTGTGGACGGTGAAAACGATTCGAATACGCTGCGTGTGGACGCAGACATTTTCGTATCCGCAAAAAATAATAGCACTCCTTTCGCTCTGTGTGGTTATTTTTTGAATTTAGCCCGTTTTAAGGATTTTTTCTCCCACCAATAAGAAATAGGTAGCCCAATCTTGGTTTCTATGGTGTCGTGTTATAAGGAAATGTATGGGGATTCTTCAAAAATGTTGATAAAATCATTGAAACGTGAAATAAAGCCTCGAAATTTTAC